GAGTGGCCATAGTGTAAATCGTTTTGGGAAAACGGCCAAAACTGACCTCGCGCTCATCGCGTGTACATGTATACGTGTGTAGGTACGCTGAGAGCCAGAGTGTGAATCCGAAAACGAGACGATGGGCTCCTGCGTCGTTGTATAAAAAGCGTCCGAGGAGGGATCATATTTTTCCATACGGTTCAGCTGCTCCACCTACTTTTGTCGCTTTGGGCGCAAAGTGTCCCGCGAGGAATGTTTATACGATGGGCTCACCGGGATGGCTGCCAAAAGGCAACGTGCAATGGACAGTGTGTGTATACTGTACTGGACGATGTTGAAAGATGTACAGGAATAATGTACATACTTGACCGATCGGGAATTTTCAATTTCCATCCAAATGGTATTGCTCTGTGATTATGGCAATGAGGCAATTGTTCTTGCGTTGGCTAAAACGGAAATCCAATCGAAAAGTATTTTCACTTAAACGTACACCTAATCCACGCGTTGGCTCGAGACACAATTACTATAAAAGTGTCTGTTGGTTACATCCGAAATTAGAACCCCCCCCCCCAAAAAAAAAAAAAAATCTCTTGAAATTTACCGCTGAAAATAAAGCGCAAAAGCTCTCGTCTCGATTCAGCTCCGATTTCCAAGTGGCACCGAGACTCCCCCCTGTATACTTAATACGCTCTTGCAACCGTGACAGCTATACGTACACTTGCCACTTCTGAAGGATGATCGACTTTGCCATTCGACTTGGCTTTTTTGCCTCCTTCTCCTCCTTGGTATACCCACCCGAGCCACAGGGCGTCTGATGAATCTCAGCGCTCCGCAAGTACATGCACGAAAGTTTGTTTGCTCGGGTATAGTGTACGGAGGAAGGAAGTCGAGAAAAACGATGGATCGAGGGCGGGGGGGGGGGGGAAGCGGAATGACGCCTCCTCTGCCCCTCGCTGTATACTTACTTACGGTGGGTGGTCCCCCAATTACCAAGACCGAGGAGGTTTCGCGCTGCCGTGGCAGCACGTGCTCGCGCGCGTCACCCTCGTAATAAGACACTCCCGCTCGGTTTTAGTTACGACTCCTGACTGACATCATTAGCCAAACACATCTGGCCCACTTCCCCGCCGTAGATCTTCTTTCCCGGCCGCTTTACGAGATCCATGCGCACATACACGCCACGAGCACGGCTTAGCCTCTCTTTTTTTCTTTTTTTTTTCCCTTCTTGTTGCTCGAGGAGGCGGTGAAGCGAGGGGCCTTTGATCGGCCGCCCTTTCGTCGCGAGATCGGCCCAAGAGCGCGAATGACGACTCGCTACGTACACGCCACCCGGTAGTTCCGCGCGACTTCCAGATTTGTCGCTTCGTTTTGATCATTCGAGCCAAAGCTCTTTTCCTTTTTTTCTCTTGGCACGTTAGCGCCCGCTCTGCTGGTACGCACTTCGTTTTTTTTTTTTTTTTTTTTTTTTCCCTCCTTTCTCCAGAGTTATCAGAGCCGATGGGGTTGTCGGGTTTGAGTTATACGCCCGATTTCCTGGGAAAGTCCTTTTGGGACGTCGCGCGCTCGATGTCTCGATTAGCCGGGGTGCTTTCGCGGGACCGCTGATGATTCATGGTTAGTCGTACGCGTGAAATACTTCGGAAGGGAATTGTTCAACCATTGCAGTTTGGGCTGTACCTTATATATTTCTCCTCTCGATTTCGTCGTACATGTACGATGCTCGAGCACTAAATAACATCATCATTTTTTTGTCTTTTCTTTGTTACTTGCATATAGTGTCTGTCGCGTGGTTGACTATATACGAGTGAGCCGAGATGTTTGCCCAATTAATCGTCTTCGTCCTGAAACTAAAAAACAGTTTGTGCGATCGCAGCCAAGAGTACCCTTTCCGCCTTTGCGTACGAACCTCGGCAATTGGCCGTCAGACCTATTACCGAAAGAGTAGCCATGACAAACAACGTGCCAGCACCGAACTTTTGCTCCTAAAAGCCAATATGCAGAGCCTATCGTTTTTCTTCGTCTACTTTATTTTCTTTTTCTTTATTTTTTTTTTTTGGCGCACATACCATTCGGGAACATAACAGAAGACCGACGATTTCGGCTCCGCAACTCGCCAACTGTCACTCACTTTCCTCATTCCCGAGCTCGTCTCTTCTCCTCCTTCTTCGTCGCCTTTTGACTCGCCGTGCGGGCCACTGTACAGACACGAGCGTGGGCGATAATACGCGCGAGCATCGCGAGATCTGCCGTTAAGTGCTCCCGCGTGTCGTGAATGCCAATCCTCATTGCCCGACCGTCGTAAAGTGCCAAAAACAGGCAGCAGCAGCGCTTCTTTCACCCCCCTGAGCTTTGCAATTTATTTTTCTTTCCTTTTCTTTTTTTCTTCCACCCCGGCATACCTCTTTCGCGCCCTCGAACGGAGTAAATCAGATCCAACACGAAAATGCTAAACTTCGTGTATATNGGAGAGTGGTGGTTGTACATAATTATACGCGATCGATGAGACGAGGGAGACAAAGGGTATATATATATAGGATTTAAGCGCGAGAGAGCCTCGGCTTGTCGAAGCCCAAACGTGTACATACATACACAGTCAAGCGCTCTCACGCGCTCAAAGCTGCTCTTCCTTCTTCTTTTCCACGGTCCGTATCCTCATCCTCCTTTGCTGCTGCTCAAATTTCCAACTCCTCGCCGATACAGTTGCTTCTCTCTCAGGGGTGGCTTACTTTTCTTCCTTCCTCCTCGTCCTGTTGCCACCTGTACATCCGTTCGGGGCGTCCTGGGTGGCCAGGGTTTACGCCCCATACTTTAACCCCCTTCCTATTCGTCTCCAAATTTATACGTATAAGTACACGTGCATTGGCCACGAGCACGCGCCAAACGCGTATATCAGAAATCGGGTTCCATACGCTTATACTTTGCCGAGGATGCGCGTCCAATGTAGGGGTGAGATGGTCCTTTTTTTTGAGCCGATGAGAGGGGTGAGATGCGCCGAAGCTTTGGGCTTTTGACTTTTGTGCGTTGATGGTGCGGGTTTAAGGGGGAAAGTAAGCGTTTTTACGTGTATGAACTTGCGTGTGAGAGTTGTGAGACCGTGTCGGGTAATAATATAATAGAGGGAATTTTTTTGTTTTTTTTTTCTTAAAAAAATCTTCAATTGGTTCACCTCTTTTGTAATGGCTTTGTTTTTTCCAAGTGTCATGTGATCATAAAAACATTTTTTTTTCTTCCGCCGTGTTCTCTTTCTGTCACTTGATTACATTTCATTTTTCTACTTTTTTATAAGTATACTCCTTATTTGTACCTTTTCTTCTGTCATCTATTTTACTTTCGTTGTCAATTGTTTCTTTTCAAATTTTTCTCCTTTTATCACCACTTTTTTGCCTTCCTTCGCACTCACTCGTCCCTTTCGAGCTCCCTGATTTTTACTAACTGATTGTTTTGTACGCTCTTTTTCTTTTCCTCGTTTTTTCCAAACCTTCTTCACTGTTTTTTACCGAACCAAACCTTTTAATGTGCCTCTTTGCTTTCTTCCTCCTAATTCATTTTTTTTTTCTTCCTTCAAATTCATTTCCACGTTATTTTACATTTATTTTTATCAATTGCGTCCGTTTTACCGTGCACATCAAATTACATAATAAGAAACACATTTCCGCATATATCCGTACATCACTGTGCTCTCTTTTCTTATTTGCCTGATGCCTATACAGTTTATGCACTTGCCTAATAAGTGCCTTTGCTCCTTACATCCATGCAGCAGCCGGTCTGCAGTTAAACGCATCGACACCGATTTCACCCTCGGTACTATCAAAACTCTCGAAAACTACACCGTCTAGTAGTGATCACAACCCACATGCGCACTGCACGCGCGAAGAATCCACGCCTAGGAGAAAAAAGGCGATGGTGCATCCGCATGCGAATGTAATTTGAGGATCGAGCGCAAAGTTATGAAAACACCGGCACGTGAGTGCATGTTGGTGGTAGCTGCTGCATGTGAGGTCCTTGACATATGTATAATTACATACTTAATGGGCAAGAACGTAAAACGCGATAATTGATAGCCAAATGTTGGCGGCTTGTCATTACACTCGTGCCGCGACTCTTTTCGCTTGCTTAGGTATACTTGTACGTATAGGTAATATTATGCCCTCGCCGCCCTTTACGACCATACGCACCGGCCACTTATATGCATAAAAGCCACCGGTGCACGCTGCATATACTCGCATACCCACACGACTGTGAGAACGAAACGTATAAGTTATCCTCGGCTGTACGACTCTCTGTGATTATATTCCGCGTGTTCGCGATTAATCGACGCACCGCTCGAGTAGCCAAATAATGGTCAACGCGAGCGGCGATTGTACGCATTGAACCATGGCATAAATACAATATACGACACGTATATACGCGGTACATAACTCGATTGGGGAAGTAACGATGCACATGTATACAGCGAAATCGATTGCCTTATCCCCTCTAGGAACAAACGACATCACGTATTGGAGAACAAGAAAAAAAAATGTATACGTATACTCGTTTTACGAAGCTACAGGGTGGATGCCAATGTCGTTTTCTTTCTTCCCGGTGCTCTAAATTTTCAAGCAGACCGGAGGAAGGAGCGTGCAACACCCAGCCTCTAGGAAGGGGCGATATCAGCAAGTGCGCCCCACCCCCCCTCGCCGATTTGCCCCCTTATACTTCGGCCCCATCCCCGCGTGCGTCGGTGCTAATTTTACGAGCCGTTGGCTCCCGGATCGATGCGCCCCGAGAAAGACTCTCCACCCTCGTGTCCTTTAGCGCGTTCGCTCTCTCACGGATCGTTGGGCGCACGCACTTGATTTTATGTTTTACACGACAGAGTTGTACGTATATAGCTACGTGTTGCAGCTGCGTGGGACTATGATTGCTTACGGAGATTGCGCTCGTCTCCCCTGACGATGTGCGCGGCAGTATAAAAAAAAAAAAAAAAAGGCTGCGATTGTATTGTATCCTTCATTTTCTCTGTTTCTGTGTTACAGATCACCAAACTCAAGATAGACTGCAATCCTTTCGCCAAAGGCTTTCGGGACTCGTCCAGGCTCACTGATTTCGAGAGGTTGGTTCAATTACTTTATACGTTGTAATTTGATTCCTCCCTGCCCCTCCAACGTGTACAGCCTTTGATCGAGCCCCAACTCACCCCCGTCCTTGCACGATACGTCTGACACGGTACATACATTTTCTTTCCTCAATGTCCAGGCTCACCAAATTGTAACAAAATCATTTGGACAGGGTGAGCCGAATTTTGTAACAGTATCTTCATAGAAAACTGTCGTCAAATTATTGGACAAAGTTTCTTTAGTCGTGTACAGTCATTAGTTTGTTTTTCCCGGTTTTCCTGAAAATTCTGAAAACGTAACACCCTTCGGGGCAAAAGCAATCGAGGAAGTTGAGACGTGCTGTTCACACGCTGTACACACCCCCGACTCGATCGGCACGGCAACACCATCCATCCCCGAGATCCCTCAAGCGACAATATCATTAATTTTCCCAGCACCCATGAACTATATAGGATAAAAAACACGTGCTCGCGGCAGGCCCGATAACGGTTCACAGTTACCCTTACAGAGAGACGATGGAGTCCATGCTGAACGAGCAGCACACGCTGAGGTTCCCGCACCGGTTCCCCTTCGAGATGGACCAGCTGCAGTCCAGCGCGGCAACGGGCAACCTCAGCCTCGAGGAGAAGGCCATGTGGGCCGCCCGGTCGCAGATCATCCTCCGGGCAGCGGCAGCCGCCGCGGTCGGTCCCTACGCCCAGCTGGTCAGCCCCGCCCTGGTCTACCCCGGGGTCGCCGCCGCGGCGGGCTCGAGCCACCAACAAGCCGCCGCCCACCAGCAACAGGCAGCCGCCGCGGCCGCTGCCGCCCAACAACAGCAGCAACTGTGGTGGGCCTCCAGCCTCGGGCCGACGCTCTTCGCTGCGGCCCACCACCAGCAGCAACAACTCGCGGCCAGCGCCGCCCAACAGCAGAGCCCCGCTGGTGGCCCGGCGGCGCCCCGGCCCGTCTACCCCTCGGCCCTGAGGGACTTGGCCCACCACAGGTTCTCGCCGTACTCGAGGACGCCGCTCAAGTCCTCGACGCAGATCGGCTCGACGCGCTCCTCGCCCTCGAGGCGGACCACGCCCTCGCCCACGGATAGTTTGGGCAGGGAGGCCCAGGACCTCTCGCCCTCGTAGTCGAGGCTGACCCGCGCGCAGTCGTCGGCGTACTGATTACTACACAGTGGGTGTGGAGGTTTTTTTTTTTTTTTTTTTTTTTTTTTTTTTTTTTTTTTTTTT